GTGATTGCTGTCAACATATGCAACACCTACATTGGTCCACGGTGCAAAATGTATTATTTTCATAATAAAGTGAGAACTGTGAGATTCTTATTATTAATATGTTTTTTTCAAGGCTGATACTAGAGACGCTTCTCGGTAATCAAGGTGATCGGCACCCAAAATAAACATGTTAATCACCAACTCTTCCACGCCTGTGTTCCATTTAGAAATATGACCTTGCGCGTGCACTCCAGTATTTACAGTGCGCACGACATTATGGAGTTCTAAATCACCGCTTTCCAGCTCTGGGCTTAAAATCAATACGATGCAGTGTTGAGTCTCCGCGTGGAGTCCTGACCTCGCTGCAGTAAAATATGAGTAACGGTCGGGAGGTGGGTCGCGGGACCAGAGACACATCAAGTGCGTTCGTACCTGCAGAAAGTCTCGGCCGGGTCCGGGGCGTCTGCATCTCCTGCCTGGCGTGGGGCAGCATGTGGTAGCGCTTGGCCTCGTTGACCAGGTCGCGACACGCCTCCGACGACTTGATGAGCTCCTCGTTGTCGACGACGTTCAGCAGGTAGGACGGATGGATGAAGGGGAGACGCACCACCGCCAGCAGCTCCGACAAATGCTGAGAAAAGAGAAGAAGGAGACGATTAGATGTTTAAGGCTTTAAATGAATTTACTTTGGGTAAAACCGGCGCCAAGGATCAAAGACCAGCGGATCAGAGTCGGTAAATACAGGCTTTCTCAGTTGTTTTAATACCCAACTTCATTCTAAATGTTGTTTTTTAGCTGTACAAATAACACTTTTTCTTTTTTTTCATATCTTGAAAGAAGACAGGAAAAGAAACTATCATGTTTGATAAAAGCCTGAGCTGTTAGTCGGAGGAAACCTGGCAGTAGCGAGACCATTAGATCAGTTACTGTCAGTGTCAGAGCTTCAAAGCTTCAGTTTAACACCCAGCATGTGTCAGTTTGCTATTTTTACACCTGTGTAGGACAAAATGCCCCGACGAGGATGGGAGGAAAAAAAAAAACAGGAGGATACCTTGTAATATTCGTTATCATGCGCCAACAGCCATTAAAAGTTATTCATCGCGGAACAAGAAGCTGCAAACTTTTCACTACTTCCGCGTTTGGTTACGCGGTGAGAGGTGAAGCGAGGCGGCGGGGGGTATCTTACATCCACCTTCTGATTTTTTTTTTTACTCCCCTCGTCTCCAAATTAAATCTTTCAGCAGACAGCTAATGTTCTTTCGCAGCTAAATTAAGACCCGGTTCTGGCTAATCACGAGCCATTCAAGCCAAGATGCTGCTGCGGCGCCCTCAGCTAGCTTTTTTTTTTGTTTGTTTCAGGGGGAAGAAAATAAAAATTTAAAAAAAAAAGATTAATTTGACATAATTTTGGCTTAAATTTTTTACTTGTTGTGGGTGAGGAGCTGGTTGAATTTAAATGGTGGGGAAAAAAGGGAAAACTATTCCCACACAAACGCCGGAGCAACGTCTCTGCATACATTTATATACCGTATAGGTGTTCAGAGGAAGGACGGACTGTTGCCATGGCAACCGTGTCTATAGCTCTGACTGTCGAGTGTTTTTTTTTTTTTTTTTTCTCCTTCTTTTCCTGAACAAGTGCATGCGTTCCCACCTCCCTCCTCCTCCTCCCCTCCTCCTCTCTCGATGGGATTCTCATCTGTGTCGACAGTAAAAGCTGTAAACAAGCTCGGACAGAGCGACAGCGAGCCGGGGCCGGAGATTTGACCCCGCTGACCCCCTTCGGCTCAGAGCGACGCGACCGAGACCGCCGAGAGGGACGAGCGACAAAACAACAGACTCGGAAGGAGCGTCGTTCGGGGAGGAGAGCGAATAATAAGCTGACAGTGTCGCCTAAGCGTCTCCTCCGTCTCCCACCTGAGGCCTTCGTACGCCGCCGCGTTTGTTGTCGACCGATGTCTTGACCAGAAAGGAGGGAATAAAAAAACACGAGGCTGGAGATGAGGCGGGAAGACGAGCGAGGACGACGGCAGAAATCGCCCGATGTCTCTTTTAGCTGAACGCCGTCCTGCATACGTCCGCCTGCCTCGCCCGCGAAACGCACACATTGATCAAACAAACAGCTCGTAAACACTTCGCTTCCAAGCGCCTCGGCTTCCGAGCGAGGAGGCAAAGTCTAAAGCAGGCTACTTAAAATACTCGGATATTCTCCCGGGAAGACTCCCCCGGCTCAAGAGGAGCTACTACTTCCAATTAAAGCGCCCCCATTGTGGGAGACCTGACCCAGTAGTTACTGAGTCATGTCACACTCAAATGGAGGACTTAAGCTTCAGGCTTTCTGCTCCGGACTTCTATTACAAGCGACTTTTCTGCAGGTCTGCCGCTACATCACCTGCATTAGTCTCATTAGGACGACGTATCGTAGCTATTAATGCCTGTAATTGGATTGAATTGAGCAAAATGAAAACACATAAGCTGTTTTTTTTGTTTAACATGCACCCGTCAAATTATTAGAATTTAAAAAGTCTCGATGTCGTCGTATTTAAAGCTGATGTCGGCTCGAGAGATGGTGTCGGAGCGTCCGCGGGTCATCAGAAATAGGTCCACTACTGACCGTTCTGACCCTCGCAGCTAAATTAAAGCTGTATATGGGGCAGTTCCAGCCAGGTGGTGCCCTTCATGGCACAGCAGAAATAAATGGCTTCAACCTCCCGCGGGTGCATCTGGAAATCTTGCTCTTTTTTGGAAACGGCAGGTGGACTGGCTCGAATTTCTTTTTTTTTTTTTTGTCTTTGGGGCTTCTCAGGTGTGAAGTTGCAGGGTTGGTTTTCGCCGAGGGATGTTCCCGGCGACTAATTTCCCAGCCGATTAAACACAAATTTATATTTCGATTAGTTTAAGATAAGTAAGAAAAACACCGGCTGCGCTGCAACCTGGATGCGATTATTTTGGCGACGTGTTCGGACGACGGGTGTTTTATTAACTTTCAGAAGCCTTTGACAAAGTCGTCGTGAGCTGCGTTATCTGTTCAGACCAAACAGAATCACAGCATCTGCCGGTAAACAACTTTTATTAGTTTTACTGTGAGCGGGGCGAGATGTGCAGTTGGTCGCTTATGTGCCAGTTTATTCTGACAGAATCTGTGAAAAATGTAGGTGTTTAAACATCACAACTCTTAATTAGTTTGGAAAAAATTGACTGTGATTTGACGAACTTTTCCTGTTTTATTCAATTGCAGACAATATCTTGAAAAATCACGGAAAAAAGTATTAATTTCCTTTAAAAAAAATAACAAAATAAAACCGTAAATAACATAAAAAATCTGCAATTTTATAAACAGTAATTTATTCTTTTCATGGATTTTACTGTAAAATTACGATACTTCTTTAATGTATTAAAATCAGCAAAGTATTAATATTTTACAGATATTTGCCGTCATTTAAAAGAAAATTATGAATATCAAGAATTAAAGAATAATAAAACATTTTCGAAGCTGTTATTTTACAGATTTTTCCTGTTTTGTTAATTTACTAAAATGGAGTAAAATCACCAAAAAAAATTTAATTAGTTGATTGTTAAACAAAATGATGTCCACATCAAAAATCTGTCAATCAAAAAATGGCTGTTTTGCTGTATTTGAATCTACAGAAAATATATTATTTTACAGATATTTACTGTCTTTTTCTTCTTTTTTATAATTTAATGTATTTTACTTCCTTTTTTTGTTGCTGTCATGTTTTTTTAAACGACGTTTCGCATCCTTATATTTACCCAACCAGCACGGTTTGACAGTATTTTGATTTGGAAAATCAACGCTCTGTCAAACTGCGCTGGTTTTACCAGATGTCGTCCGTCCCACTTTGCTGATTCACAACATCTGCGGGGAGACGTGAGCTGCCGTCTGCTGGGACTGCAGCCCCGACACAATGCTTAACCAACATTGTACATTAATTACACGCTTACGATTAGTTTTGACGACTGGTGTCTCTGCTGCCGACTGGTGAGGGCAGACATCACCGCTGAAGAAGTTCTTTACCACTTTGGAGATCTTGACCTTAGAAGCTCCAGAGCAGCTACCAAATGGACCAGATTGCCTTGTTCGCTGGTATGAAGGTAAACTTTGGAGCAAGTATTTGTTGGGTCGCTTCCATTTGTTGGCAAGAACATTTCGAGCGCGGTTCGTCGGTAGCAGCGTCCATCCTACTGACGGACTAGCAGTTGTAAATGTGCCTCGACCCGACTGAACCCCACAATGTCCCTGCAGTTGCTCTGCTGCAAAGCGTTGCCGGTTAAACTAAGGTCACAAAAGGCTGCGGCACTTCGGTGAAAGGGCGCCTGAGGTGAAAGAACAGAGAGCAGCGAGAGAGGATGAAATGCAGAGGACATTAAATGAACAGCAAAGACTCGTGGGGTTTGACAGAGAAAGGCCAGAAAACAGAAAAAAAAAATCGGCAATAGGACGAGAGAGAAAGAGGACGGGTATGAAACGGGGCTAGTCTATCGGTTGGGAGGCGCATCACCATCGTAGACGTCAAAAAAACATAAATAACTTGGATTTCTGGAGCTGGATACGGTTTGGTCTGCAGTACAAAACCACACAGCTTAGGAGAGCTGGAAACTCTAAATGGCCTCCTACACCAGGTGTTTCCCTTCTCTTCTCATGTGCAGTCCATCCTGTAATAGATACTGGATAAGAGTAGTAGCTGCTTCCAGAGTTTGACAAATTCTGGGCACAAGCGAGACGTTGGGCGTCGGAACTCGCGGCACGTGCAGCGTCGTCTCCGTCACACATGCAAGGCTTAGGTACGCTTTCTGTTGTCTGTGGAAAGTGATATAGAAAAATGAAAAAATAATAAAAACCCAAAGCCATCCCACTGTACCATCTGTAAATCCCAGCTACATACAAAAACCCACATCTGTTGCAGCGTCTCTTCGCTTGCCAAATATCTTTTAATGGCAGTAAAAAAACTACCTCAAAGAGAGCATCTGGTGTCTGCAAAAAAAAAGGTAAGGAACGGCTAGCGCTGCCGCATACAGGAAAAAAAAAATATCCGCCCGAAAATACGCCCACGCAGACGCAGAGAGGCATGCACATGTGAATACAGAAGGAGACAGATGGGCGCATTCAGCGGTAATATCTGTAGTCTGACGGCTGAGAAAGAATGTGTTATTGGTGGTCGTTGTTAATCTGGACGGTGTGTTCGGAATGAAAGTCGATTTGACCGCAAATCTTGTTGGGAGAGATTAAGACAATGTATAATCTGTGAGGCTGATTAAATACACAACATGGGAGATCCCCGCGTATGTGGATGGATGGATGGATGGATGGATG